CAGCTTCCAGATAGCGACGAGACGGTGGTGGCCGTATACGACTGCGGTTGGGACCATCTGGAACATGGCGATCCCGCCGCATTTATGGACTTGGACACAACGAAGATTACCTCGGCACGCCGCATCAAGTATGAAATGCGCAACTTTGTTCGCTTTGCCACTGCATTCGACAATCTTCTAACCGAACATTCTATTCACGGACGCGCTGATGGGCGTTTGGTATCAGAAGCGCTGAACAACGCTCGTAAAGATGTCCTGGCGGTTCGTCATCTTTTTCTTTGCTCGATTGAGATTGCTGAATGATGGCCAGGAAATGTATCTGGGCTACGGCAAAAAGGCTGCGATTCTTGACGAGGCATGCGAAGACGCCCCGATGGATATGGATAAGGCATGGGCGCTTTTACGTCTGGACTCGGTTGAAGGTGTCACGAAGAATCTGCCCACGATACAGCCATCCAAGGTAAATCAGTACTTTGACGAATATGCTAAGAGGATGATGGAAGACGATGATGACGACGAGAGCGATTCGGAGAGCATGGACGTTGACGGCGATGAAGATGAAGATGGCAAGTAGTTAGAGCATTCTTTCTGTATATGTTCGTACTCATATATCGATATCGTCTAAAGTGATAAATCTGGCTCTATGGGTTCGGAAGCGCTTCGAGCTGCAATATGAGCTCTTCAACAATGCACCAACAGTACGACACAGATACACCTTTCTGTCCGTCATCTTATTCCTCATACAGAGTGTGGAAAAGGTTGACGATATCCTTCAATGGCTTGAGAAATCGACGCCGACCGATCAGATTTTGGTTGAATCTGGTATATACAAACCCATCGCGCGCCTGGAACATCCTTCAAATATCTCATTCAAGGACGATGGCAGAAACTTGTGTAAGAGGGCAAGGGACTTGTGGAGAGCATGGCGTCCACTTCTGAGAGGTCTTCCGACAGTGACATATGACATGACACCGGTTCCTTACTGTGGACCTATCACGCCGGACACTCCTCAACCTGTCACGACGGACACTCCTCCCCTTGTCGCGACGAACAGTGTCCAAGAGGATACGTACTCTGATGTCCCCAGTGATTATTGGCAGGTAGATTCCGATGACATATAAGTCGATAGCGAGTTGTACGTAGACGCTTACGCATGCCTGAAGAAAATCTGCTCTTGTGACAAGAACGCGCCCGACCAGGGTGGTGGAGGAATTATGTCGCCCGGGTGACAAAATACATGGGACATAGTGATAAATGGGTTAGAAAACAATTTAGTACTTAGCGCTGAAATGACGAGGTAGCATGGGAGGGGTGCTCAGGAGCGTAACCCTGACAGCCATAGCGCAGGGCGGGGGGGGGGGGGGGGGGGAGAGGTAGGCAAGAAAGCTCAAGACCAGCTCTATCAGCCGAGTTCGCTCGGAAATTTAACAAATCAAATTAAAAATTTGCAAATGCGCCACATGCTGTACCGGTCCATCGCAGTTTACATAAGCCGTGGCGGACCTGGCAAAACTGAGGATATATAAGGAGGTCGTTCAACATGCGTGATGCCCATGGACGCACTGTCTCTTCAGCTCGAGAGGGTCTCTCTGGGTGTTTCTCCTCTTTCAGCAGAGGAGAGAGCAAGACGCATTCGATACGCACTCATCACTATCGCCGTAAACACCTTGCACCGTCGCGTCTTGCTAGGCTTTCTGGCCAAACATGACAACAATGAAAGAGCTTCCGCTCTCATGATTGTCGCCTATAATCGTGCTCTGGAGCAGCTTAGAGTCCTAAATGAACTCACGTACGACCAGATTGCTTAGCATCTATTGTTACTAACGACGATAACTAGATCACTCGGAGGACATGAAGAGGATTATAAAGCCTTGGTTCGCAACCTTACAACCACGAGTATCGTCAAGAGTACACTTGGTGGCCTCAAGCATCACGATGAAGGATTTTTAGAAGGAGTTCAGATGGTCGTTGAAGTGTATGAGCAATGGGTCGAAAATCATCTGCATTTGTATGTCACGCTGGATGACAGTGGAGACATTGTATGGAATTAAACCATGTCCAAGAGTTACTATACATGTATACACAGCCAACGTACCCGTCTGATGCATCCTAAGGAGCCAATAGAAAGTTGAAGCAGTCCCACTGAGCCCCGCCGAGTCTGACCGAAACTCGCCAACTTATGTTCTTGTTGACAGAACGTCCTCAGTTCGAGTCTGAGTTGACCCATTTAAATTTTGGATGTTCTTTTTTGACGGCTGCATGGGGAATACTTTGCCTGGGCGCTGGAACGGGTTCAGAGAGGAATTGTGCTACCTGGGTGACTGAGTCCTAACCCTACAATGGGCCTAAGCCTTCCTAGAGTTAGAACACTGTACTAGACAGCTACTCTGGTCCATGCGGAAATCCTACGCGCGTAGAGATTCGACAGGGTCCATTACTCGGGTCCATGCGGAAATCCTACGCGCGTAGAGATTCGACAGGGTCCAGCCTGCGGAAGCGCCAAGTTCCTCTCTGCTGAATGCTCTCATTCAGGCACAGGAAGTGCGCTAACGCTCTCGCTTAACAGCGCGGCGTTTAGCGGACACGAATCTCCGGTGAGGCTGAACGAATTTGAATGAGAGTCGCAGGGAGTACAATCCAACAGAGTCCAATAACCTTTATATTGCGCCACATGTTCGGGTGCTCTGTGGGCAAAGTTCTTCTGTCTTAAGAGCTCCCATTCAGCCACAGGAACTGCGCTAACGCTCTTGGTTGAAGCGCGGCGTTTAGTGGGCGAGCAGATGGTCATTCTCGTAGGGAATATGAATGAGAGTCACTGAGCCGAGTATGATCCAAGAGGACCTGGCGCGTGGTCAGACATGAACTTCCCAATTGCACAATGTGTGGATAAGGGAGCGAGATGTATTTTGACAGAACGTAGTAGCCTATTTGAAGTTTACAATGACCGCCGAGATATCATCACGCGTGTCGGGCGTAGCCTTCATCGCAGCCTCCATCTTCTCGACATCCGTGCCAAAGAGCGTATTCTTGATCAGGGTCTCCGCCGCATTGTTTCCCGCTTCCGAGATACACTCATGTCCTATACGCGCATCAGGAGCACCCTTGGCAAGCGAGACGAGGATATCCCAGCATTCGTCTGGCGTCAGGGGTGGCGGCAATGCATCTCGCAGGCCGTCAGATGCAAAAATTAGCATGTCACCTTGCTCAAGGGCATGGCATTCAACATCGGCTGTGCTAGACATGTACGGCATGTTGATATGACCTGCTTCTTTCCATTCGCCCCAGCACGCTGACGGCAAAGGCGCGCGATAGATCCAGTAGAGTCCTCGCGATCCGATGGAATAGGACGCTTTCATCTGGAAGTCACCGAGAGCTGTCAATAATGTATCAGTGGGAAAAACCCCAGATCGCAAAGCGTACAAACCACGCGTGACACTGAGCCAACCCAAGAGACGCCCATCGGAAATGATACCGACTTCGTTCGGATGTTCGCGCTGGATTCTCTCGACCTCGTCCTGGTTCCTGCCGTTGTGGGACACGCTCAGCATGATTCGGACCCACTTTTCGTCCTGCGTACGAATGCATACTGACAGCGACTGAGTAGGCTTTTGAGTAGACAAACAAATAGAAGCGTACCTGCATCAGAGTCTCCAAGCGATGCTACCCAGACGTGCGTCCGGGCGCTATTAATGAACGCGATAACGGCCGTCGAGCCTACGACTGCTAAGCGTGAATCCTCGAAGGTTTTACTTCCTCGGTACCCTATCACAGCATACAACTCGCTGGCGTCATCCCACTGCTCATGGGAAAAGTCCTCTCCCTCGGCAAAGAGTTTCGTGAAGTTTTCCAGGAGCGAGTCGTCGAACTGTTTAATCTCCGACTTCATGATGTCTGGAATGTCAAGACTACCATGGATGTCCGCGGAAATGCGGTCGGCGATGGCGCGGGGAAGGACTTGCGACGCGTACTCTGACAACTCAGCGGTAAGATGACCTGGACGAAAAAGGGTTAGCAATAACAAAGGAGCAAAAATGGCTCTGTATGCACCGTCAAAAATAGCAATTATGGTCCCATGTTCAAACGGCAAGATGGTGGTTCTATCCTCGTTTTTCATTTGGAGGCTAGCCGAATGAATGTCCATTCCCTCAAAGGTGAAGGTGGTGGCGGTAATATCTGGTTGAGATGCCATGTTCGCAGTGATGGTTGGACGCAAAGAGGAGACCGTGCAAGGTTCTTCGGTGATTTCCGAGTCGGCGCCCCGGGTCCGTTAACACCGAATGTTTATTAATACCGAATGAACATTCGGTATTAACCGACGGCGACAGCGCACGCTACTTGAACAGTATAAAGAACATTGACGAAAGGCAATGTGAATCATCCCCCCGTTCTCTCAGGGATCCTCTTACTGCGTCGCTGCGAGTTTCGAGTGACTTTGTCTACTCCCTTTCCGACCATGTCGCTCATATTTTTGCCTAGTGTGTACGACTAAACCAAATCCGGCATCTACACCTCAGCGTCCGCTTACGCCGCTGAAGGATAAGGACTGTGGGGCCGCCACCTGTCCCAGCTCGGTGCAAGTGAGGGTGTTTCCGGTGTGCCGTTCTATGACTCACCATGTGCAGAGCTTGCCCTCAAAGCCCACCAAGCCCAAGCCCAAGCCCAAGCCGAAGTAGATGCCCTCTCGTACGTGTTGCATCACGAAGCTGAAGTCGGAGTAGAGGCGGATCATGTAAGTGTTCCTCACTGGGGCGCTTTTGAAGGTAACGCTCTCGCAGGCGGTTGAATGTTCGTAAGAAGTACAAATAAATGTAATATTAGTGCAACCATGACAAGTGTTTCTTGAGCGCCTCCGGTTGAGCGTGTCGTTTACTATATTCGCGGTACGTAGGCGTGTCTGCGGATCAAAACGCACGTGACCCACCGGAACGAGTCCAGAGATTGGGTCCAGCCTGCGGAACTTCCACGCGCGTACAGATTCAACAAGGTTTTGCATACAGCGCGGGTCAATGGCGTACTTGGTTAACGCGTCTGTTCAACTGATCTTCTTGTTGACAGGATGTCCTCAGTTCGAGTCTGAGTTGACCGATTTGTATTTTGGATGTTCTTTTTTGACGCCTGCATGGGGAATACTTTGCCTGGGCGCTGGAACGAGTTCAGAGACGAATTATGCTGCCTGGTTCACTGAGTCCTAGCAACACAATGGGCCTAAGCCTTCCTAGAGTTAGAACACTGTACTAGACAGCTACTCTGGTCCATGCGGAAATCCTACGCGCGTAGAGATTCGACAGGGTCCAGCCTGCGGAAATCCTACGCGCGGAGAGATGCGACAGGGTCCATTACTCGGGTCCATGCGGAAATCCTACGCGCGTAGAGATTCGACAGGGTCCAACCTGCGGAAATCCTACGCGCGGAGGATTTCTGCACATGGAGTGCGTGGGTCCAGGCGAAGAATATTAGGTCCCACGGGCGTACAGATTCGATAAGAGTTTCCGTACAGCGCGGGTCAATGGCGTAGTGGGTTAACGCGTCTGTTCAACATATGATCTTCATACCGTTGATGGCAGAACGTCCTCAGTTCGAGTCTGGGTTGACCCACTTGAACTTGGGATTTTCTTTTTTGACGGCTGCCTAGCGAACACCTTCCCTGTGCAGTCGAACGAGTTCAGAGAGGCGTTATGCTGCCTCGCTCACTAACTCACCTAACTATTCCTAGAGTTAGAGCACTGCAGTAGAGAGCTACCCTGGTCCATGCGGGAATCCTACGCGCGTAGAGATTCGACAGGGTCCAGCCTGCGGAAATCCTACGCGCGGAGAGATTCGACAGGGTCCATTACTCGGGTCCATGCGGAAATCCTACGCGCGTAGAGATTCGACAGGGTCCAGCCTGCGGAAATCCTACGCGCGGAGAGATTCGACAGGGTCCATTACTCGGGTCCATGCGGAAATCCTACGCGCGGAGAGATTCGACAGGGTCCAGCCTGCGGAAATCCTACGCGCGGAGAGATTCGACAGGGTCCAACCTGCGGAAATCCTACGCGCGGAGGATTTCTGCACATGGTGTGCCTGGATTCACGGGCGTGAATCCAGGCGAAGAATATTAGGATGCAGCTGGACGGACATAAAATCTGTCGTCCGTGAGCGTCTTGTTAATGTCTGCAGTGTCTAATCAACGTCCGGAGCATCCAGACACCAGCGGACACCAAGGACGCAGCTGGACGGATATGAAATCTGTCTTCTGTGAGCGTCTGATCAACGTCCGGAGTGTCAAGACACCAACGGACATCAAGGATGCAGCTGGACGGACATAAAATCTGTCGTCCGTGAGCGTCTTGTTAATGTCTGCAGTGTCTAATCAACGTCCGGAGCATCCAGACACCAACGGACATCAAGGACGCAGCTGGACGGACATGAAATCTGTCATCTGTGGGCGTCTGATCAACGTCTGGAGCGTCAAGACACCAATGGACATCAAGGACGCAGCTGGACGGACATGAACTCTGTCGTCCGTGAGCGTCTGATCAACGTCCGGAGTGTCAAGACACAAACAGACATCAAGGACGCAGCTGGACGGACATGTGGGCGTCTGATCAACGTCCGGAGCGTCAAGACACCAATGGACATCAAGGACGCAGCTGGACGGACATGAACTCTGTCGTCCGTGGGTGTCTGATCAACATCTGGAGTGTCAAGACACCAACGGACATCAAGGACACAGCTGGACGGACATGAAATCTGTCTTCCGTGAGCGTCTGATCAACGTCCGGAGCATCAAGACACAAACAGACATCAAGGATGCAGCTGGACGGACATGAAATCTGTCTTCCGTGAGCGTCTGATCAACATCCGGAGCATCAAGACACAAACAGACATCAAGGATGCAGCTGGACGGACATGAAATCTGTCTTCCGTGAGCGTCTGATCAACGTCTGGAGTGTCAAGACACCAACGGACATCAAGGACACAGCTGGACGGACATGAAATCTGTCATCCGTGGGCGTCTGATCAACGTCCGGAGTGTCAAGACACCAATGGACATCAAGGACGCAGCTGGACGGACATGAACTCTGTCGTCCGTGGGCGTCTGATCAACATCTGGAGTGTCAAGACACCAACGGACATCAAGGACACAGCTGGACGGACATGAAATCTGTCTTCCGTGAGCGTCTGATCAACGTCTGGAGCATCAAGACACAAACAGACATCAAGGACGCAGCTGGACGGATATGAAATCTGTCTTCCGTGAGCGTCTGATCAACGTCTGGAGTGTCAAGACACCAACGGACATCAAGGACGCAGCTGGACGGACATGAAATCTGTCATCCGTGGGCGTCTGATCAACGTCCGGAGCATCAAGCCACAAACAGACATCAAGGACGCAGCTGGACGGACATGAACTCTTTCTTCCGTGAGCGTCTGATCAACGTCCGGAGCATCAAGACACAAACAGACGTCAAGGACACAGCTGGATGGACATGAAATCTGTCGTCTGTGGGCGTCTGATCAACGTCCGGAGTGTCAAGACACAAACAGACATCAAGGACGCAGCTGGACGGACATGTGGGCGTCTGATCAACGTCCGGAGCGTCAAGACACCAATGGACATCAAGGACGCAGCTGGACGGACATGAACTCTGTCTGTCCGTGGGCGTCTGATCAACATCTGGAGTGTCAAGACACCAACGGACATCAAGGACACAGCTGGACGGACATGAAATCTGTCTTCCGTGAGCGTCTGATCAACGTCCGGAGCATCAAGCCACAAACAGACATCAAGGACGCAGCTGGACGGACATGAACTCTTTCTGTCTGTGAGCGTCTGATCAACGTCCGGAGCATCAAGACACAGAACAGACAGTCAAGGACACAGCTGGATGGACATGAAATCTGTTCGTCTGTGGGCGTCTGATCAACGTCCGGAGTGTCCAGACACAAACAGACATCAAGGACGCAGCTGGACGGACATGAAATCTGTTTCCGTGAGCTGTCTGTCATCAACGTCCGGAGCGTCAGGACACCAGACGGACATCAAGGACGCAGCTGGACGGACATGAAATCTGTCTTCCATGAGCGTCTGATCAACGTCTGGAGTGTCAAGACACCAACGGACATCAAGGACGCAGCTGGACGGACATGAACTCTGTCCTCCGTGAGCGTCTGATCAACGTCCAGAGTGTCAAGACACAGACGGACATTAAGGACACAGCTGGACGGACATGAAATCTGTCTTCCATGAGCGTCTGATCAACGTCCGGACTGTCCAGACACAAACGGACATCAAGGACGCAGCTGGACAGACATGAAATCTGTCTTCCGTGAGCGTCTGATCAACATCTGGAGTGTCAAGACACAAACGGACATCAAGGACGCAGCTGGACGGACATGAAATCTGTCATCCATGGGCGTCTGATCAACGTCCGGAGTGTCCAGACACAGACGGACATCAAGGACACAGCTGGACGGACAGGAAATCTGTCGTCCGTGAGTGTCTGATCAACATCTGGAGTGTCTAGACACAAACGGACATCAAGGACGCAGCTGGACGGATATGAAATCTGTCATCCGTGGGCGTCTGATCAACGTCCGGAGCATCCAGACACAGATGGACACCAAGGATGCCAACGGACAGATCGGAAATCTGTTATCCGTGGGTGTCCGATCAACGTCCGGAGCGTCCAGACACAGACAGACACATACAGACATGAAATCTGTTGTCTGTGAGTGTCTAATCAATGTCCGAAGCGTTAAGACACAGATGGACATTAATGATGCAGGCAGATGGATACAAAATCTGTTGTCTGTGAATAGCCTGGACTAGTCAGATATAAGGATGCAGATGCATGGACCTCAATTTTATTGTTCGTCATAATCTAATTCATGATCTAATCTCTGCACATAACAATCATGCATCACTCATCATCTGCCACATCTGAACATACCTGGATACCAAACATACAAGTAAACAAACCTTCCTTTTACGCATCTGCCTACTATGCAGAGCATTCAGTCCTTGAGAATGTAAACTTTTCAGATTTTAGATTTTTTACCCTTTATTATATAATGTTATATATTATAATTATTATGCACTATTTTACTTCAGATTATTTAAATTTTCGATTCTTAATCTTCGAATAATTCAAAATAATTCTGCTAAAAAAATTTATTAATTTATTACTTCTTTTACTATACGTGAATTATGCTATAAAATTCCAGTCCATCTGACTGTAATAAATGTAATTATTGGTATTATAACAAAAACAAAAACATTCGTAAATATATTTGAATTTTGTATTTCAAGTTTTTTACCTTAATATTCAGTATTATTTTATAATCTTTTCTATCTGTCTTTTAACATACTAAATATCATAAGTATTTCAGATTTCAACTCTCAATTCTGATGCTTAAGTTTATAAAAAATCACAAATATATTTTCTAAAGCATTTCAAAACATATTATTAAACATTTCTCTTAAAAATACTGTAATACCTTTGAAAATTTTTGCAAAACTGAATTTTAGATTTTGCTCATATTATTTCACCTCTTTTCTTACTTACTTTTTAATCTTTGTTTTTAGTTTAAAACTCGAAATCTGAATTCTATTTTTTTTAGCAAAATTTATATCTCAAAAATCCTTAAAAATATATCTATTAATCCTGGTATAATAGTCTCAAATTCTTTCAGACATTTTTTACCTACTTTTTTATCATAATTTATGCTCAATAACTTAAAATATTTTTTTGAAAGTTTTAGTCTAAAAAAAACGTATAAAATGCATGCGATTTTTTAGCGGTAATCTCACCTAAAAATCTGAACTCTTCAAGCAGTTGAAAGACGCTTATTGAGATCAGACTCGCTTTGAACAGTTGAACGCCATCTTGACTCAAGACCGTGTTCAGTTCGACTTGACTCGGATCTTCGTCTGCTTCAACGCCTCGCCCGCCCCGCCCGCCGTCGCCCACTCGAGAAGCGCGTTTTCGATTGAGACGTGTGTTGAACGGCGGCCGTTGGCCGCCTGCCGTTCATTGAGTTATAATCATTATCATTTATTATATATTATACGCTATACTGTATCTCTTCCCCAATCCTACTAACCCTCGCCATCACCACCTAATCCTAACCATCTCGGGGCCGGTACTGTCTATTCGAGATAAGAGCACACTGCGAAGCATACCCTCGACGTCACCTTCCTCCCGTCTTCGCCCGTCGCCTCTCAACTCAACACGTGCAACTCATCTCGACTCACGATCTGTCTCGACGTACTCTTGAGACGGATGCAAGTACGGCGCGCACACTCACACTTTGAGACTTGGACGCGTCATCTTGAAACGCTTGCGGAAACACCTTCATTCGAATACACAACAGAGTCGCAGTTCAAACACCTCATTCGGACATGTCTGCCGATTTTCAACTCAACACTTCAGTCAGTACTCAGTCTGTGTAAGTAGCCCCCAATCAGCGCAATCGAGGCTGGCAGACGCGATGAGGTCGATGATGAAATCGACGAGTTCCTGCGGAATACGGCACATGCAGAGAGGATACTGCAAGCAGAGTCAGTCGGCGGCGAACACAGGATGGAAGGAAAACTCGCCTCGATGCTA